TCTCTCTCTCTCTCTCTCTCACACACACACACACACAATAAAAGCGGTGGATATTTCGGAGCACGGCCGACGGGGTGAGTGGGAGGGGAGAAGGGGTGGAGATGGGACGCGGGGGGAAACCGCAGAGAAGAAGCTCGCAGCATAAAAGCTCTCTAGGCTCCTGCGCGGCCTTTCGCGCGCTGCTCGCGAAGAATGTCATGTGTCTCGAGCGGGTGAAGGTGGGGGAGGAGGGGGGGTGGGCGATAAATATCCCGACGCGAGACGAGAGGTCGCCGCGGGCGCCTCAACCCTCGACGTCGCCGCTCATTTCTCAAATGGATGAGCAGTATAGCGACGTAATGATGTAGATGAGGCGCCACGCCACGCCGCCGCCACGTCGCCACCCCCGTTACAGGGAGGAAACAAAAACAATGTCTCTGCGAAAGGAAGCGCAGCGCATAGCAACTGGAACGTATTTGGGTTGGTGTATGTTGCATGTGTTGGTGGTTGGTGGACAGTGCAGGAAGAGGAGTTGGTGTTGCACATAGGCCGAGGTCGCCTTACTCGTGGTGCATGGGTCTGCATACCTCGGCGCTGCGAGCCGTCACAGGAGTCGCCTCCCCGCCCCACCCTGCCCCGCCCCGCTATATGTGCCTCATTTGATACGCGCGTGGGCGCCGGGCGGGGCAGGGGGAGGGGAAGTGGGCCAGGCATACGATAGGCCCCGCTGCGCTGCGCCGTGTGGATACTCCTCATTATAAATAGCATTGTCCGGCCAGCGATGATGAGCGCGGGGCGGGGCGAGGGCGAGGGAGGGGCGCTGCTGCCAACTGCTTGCCTCGCGCGACTGCTCGTGTTTGGCGTCATTCTTTCGACCCGCGCATCTATCATATTATCCTCCCCCTGAAGTGCCACCGCTCACGACGAGCGTGTGTGTATTATGACGTTTCGAAAAAGTTGGCATGGGCTTGCTCTCGGGGTCGTCGGCCATTATTTGGCCCAGCTGTCGCGGCCGGATCACGCCGGCTGCTGCTCCCCCGGCAAACTTGTCCCACCTCGTGACCCACAACAGCGGCCCGCCCCACCCGCCTCGACACGACACCCTACGGCACCCAAGGGGATCATCCAGAAAGTACGCCCGTCATTCGCCGTTACGAAGCTGCCAAGTCCATGTTCAGCCTCTCTGCAAGCCCTGAAAGCGCCTGGTAGGTAGACACCGTCTTGCCTGCAGTGCATGCGTGTACTGCGGGATGGCCTACCCTGAGCTTCGCAGGCGCCGACCTCACAATTTGCAGAACGAATCTGAAGGAAAACAGACGTACTTTCTGGACGATTTCCTGCTCACGCCATGGGAGACAGACTATCGGTACCAATGCTTATCTGGGGCCATAGCCGCGATTGCTTGCAGGTGGTGGTCTCGCCGTGTCGGGTCCTGCGACAGCTGGCGACGCGGGCTGCGCGGAGCGAGCAGGGGGGTCCATGGCCGGGGTGCCGGCCGCGCGCGTCGTTCACCCGGACTGAGTGGTTCACGGTTAGATAAACAATTTGGTCGTAGTCCAAGAGAAATGGAGCGCGCGAGCAGAGAAGATAGAAGGATGAGCGACGGAGCCCCCCGCGCGCTCCAACATTTGGAGGCGATTGTCGCGCGGTGTCTCCCCCCCCCCCCTCTTCGAGGAAGCCGCTAGCCGTGTACTACAACGCCCCGTCAGCTTCATAGCACTGCTGTGGTTCGCTCCTCTTAAAAATACACACGCCTCACGAGGCGTGCAAACTGAAAGTAGCGACGCGAAGGCGGGCGGCGGGCCCGACCCCGACGTCCCCCCGGCCCCGGCCTGCCTGGGGGAGTCTGTCAGCGCGCTGTCATCAGCGACTCATAAGCGACAAGGCGCCGCCGGCGGCATGGCCACGCCACGCAGAGTGCTGCGGTGTGCTCCGCATGCCAGCGCCAGGACCACGACGGACCGGGCGGTGGTGTGGTCCAAGGAGACAGATGGGTCCATGAGTATTTTGATGT